CTTTCTCCAATGGGACAAATGCTTTCCTTGAGCTCCACCAAAGCCCCGGTGCCTGGCGACCAGCCCCAACCATTCTGATCAGGACCACAATTGAGGGATGCTGATCGAACAAAATGCAACACAGAACTCAAATTCTTAAAAAGTCCTAATTTCCGGGACAGAGTGAAAAGAGAGGATTCCCTGAGATGATCACCTTAAGGTACACTTTAAACCCCAAAGGTACATTTTAAAATGCCAATCGAAATCATTCCTGGGATCACCTTTTAGCTAAACAGATTGGCTCATAAAATCAAAGAACAGCACCCATATAAACTTCTTTTTAAAATCATCCATAGGAGACCAGCTGGTCAAACGACAGGAAAGGTATGAAGTCAGAGGGCAGGGAGACAAGAAACTGGAAACGATACAAACAGACTAGAATGAGTGAGAACAATGACACGGTGTAAAATATGTAAGCAACATCACGGAAACTTAGCGGTAGAAACTGTTAAGAGGGCGCCTATTTTGAGGTGTAAATTTTCCCCGTAAACACTACATGTAGTTCTATAGACTATATAGTTACATGCTATATAGAATCCAATAGATCATGAATTATTTATAGCTACATACATGTAACTATACCTTAAAAACACAACTGTAACTTAAACACTGTATATGATAGTTACGTACATGTAACTTTTCATATTTACATTTTATATACATATATGTGTATAATTATATATATAAAACATTCACCTTAAACACATTGTGTGTGTGTGTGTGTGTGCATACAATTTTTAAATACAAGTAGTGTGCCTGGTCAATATAGGTATGCCATGGCTACTGTCCCATTTCATTAGATATTAAAAACTTTAATTTTTAAAAGACTAGCCTCGAGGTACATTAGCATAATAATCTTTAAAATCCTACTCTCTTATGATTGCTCATATTGATACCAGTATAGATCAGGAAACACCAACCAAACAGGTTTAGCCAGGGGAGGTGAAATTCTGATTTTCCCGAGTATGGCTACTTTTGACAAGTTTTGCCCAGTACAGTCTGACCTAATTTTAATTGACAAATCAAATAATCTTTCATTTTAAAGTACACGCATCTATGGCTCTTTGAGGATAAAAGTGACTTTCTTCTAAATCTGAAAAACTAAAACCCATCACCTTTTTGAAGAATAATCATGAATACATTGACTGATGTTAAGTACATGAGAATTACTTTTTTTTTGCTGACCCAAGATTCCTTGTGTTGTAATAAATAGTAACTCTCCATGGAGATAAGATACTACGTTTCTATGGAAAATTAAAGGCAATTAAAGTTTTAAGATAGTGATGGTTCTTAGAATGACAGTTATCAGAATCCCATCTGCATATGGTTTTTGAAAAAGAATAGAATCCAATAGATCATAGATTTGAGAAATGTTAAAAAAAAAACAAACAGCATTCCACAATTGACCTAACATATATACCTTAGGACAATATGGCAGTCACCAATGTAGCGTCCCAAATACACACCTTATTGCCACATTCCTATGGACAGAAGTTAAAAAATGAAAACCCCCCAATTCTTCCTCATTGGTTCACTTCATTACAGAGCATAACAACTGCTATTACTGATAATCCTGTAGCAATTGCATCATCCTATAGCTGACTCTGCGCCGAGTTGACATATTATTTAGTACTTAACTAACCATGTGAGATGATTATAGCCTCATTATAATGGAGAAAATCCATCAAACGCTTTACCAAAAGTGGATTAGAAAATTCACTTTTAGTTCACACTGCTAGAAAAGTGCTAAAGAATCCAGATGCAAAACCACTTACCTGACCCAGACACTTGCTACCCTTTGTTCTCAAAAGGCTGGCGCCCTCTAAATCTGTGATTAGTTGACTCTGACTCCAGGCAAGCCTGTATATATCAGAATAGCACTGTGCTGTATATGGTACTCAATGGCAGATTCTCTGTTGATTGCCGGGCCTTTCTTCCAAGGTGCCCAGGGGTGGATTCAGACTACATTATTAGCGAGAAGGGCATAGTATTCATTGCATCATGCACCACCCACGGGCTTCTGGTCCTCTTTCTATGCCACTCCTTCCCAAGAATTTCCAGTTAACCACATTTCAGTGATATGACAAGTCCTTAAAGGATCATTAAACATAATGGTGATGCTGAGTTAATGAAATGCACTGCAAAGGCTTAAGAACAGGATATGCAGGAGCCTTTAAACCCACTGCAAATGTTACAAAATGACTATAAAATGGACTGTCTGCTCTGAATGCCCTTCACCTGGTTCACAA